GATGTCAGCTTAACATCGTGATATCTGTCAGCCATCGGCGATGGACGATGGCATCGTCTATCGGCCCAACCCTACTATAAACATGCTAATCATGCTAAAAACATGTTAGCAACATGCTAATCATGCTAGAAACAGCCTAGCAACCACCCCAGGTACCCTAGCAATATGTTTTATGCCTATCTGTTTTTCTGATAGACTGTATTGCCTTGAAAACATTCAAACTTTAATCTTTAAAACTATTTTAACGTTCAAACTACTTCAAATTGAAAACTTTCAGACTGCAACCTTTTAAAACTTTTTCAAACTTTCTAGCTAGGCTTTTTCAAGCCAACTTAAAGTTTGTCTACAAACTTTTCAATCTAGTTTTAAAACTGAAATGCCAAAACCAATATGCCAAACTAACTTAAAAGGAAGTTTCCTGAGTTATGTTTTTAGGGTGTTAACTTTTGTTTCCATGCATAAATATGCATATTTACCAATTTCCTGTTTCTGTTTCTTATTTAGTCCTGTGCATTTATATCACCTGTTAGTTCTGTTCTTGGTCCGTTATCGTGACTGTCTGGGTTTTGGGTTGCGTTGCTCCTTAATTTTTTCCTGTTCTCCTGCAATCCAGACTTTTTAGCTTTGTTTAATGAAGACTGCTGCATTTAGATCCTCGACTTCTTTCCTGCAACCAACCTGTGACAAAAAGCTAATTAAAAGGAATTATAAAAACTGTAAATACTATATACTGAATAAATACTAAATACTATAATTGTGTATAAGTAATAATAAAATGTGGAAGGAAGAAGGGCTTTCCTCAGTGTCTGGGAGTCTTGCTATCCTCTGACGCTGTAGTTGTGTGAGCAGTAGGTGATTTCACCCCTGAGATGCTTCTAAACGGTGCATGGGGAGACTATGTGTAACTGAATAATTGAAGACACTCACGCATTTCATTTAAGGATTTGGCAGCACAGTATGTGGGATCATGTTACCTCCACTGCATTCCTCACATATAAATGTACAGTCAGTACACTGTGAGTCAACTGGATACATATTTACACTCAAGGCCCAAACATAAAAAATACATGAAGATGTATGGAAAAGAAGGGGGTTGTCTATACACATGAGAGAGATGATACACACACACACACACACACACACATATTCCCAGCATTAAAAGAGCAGATTGTGAATCCACTGTAAATATATATTTACAGTGGATTCACAATCTGCTCTTTTAACGCTGGGAATATATAGAATGTGTTGGGTAGAAAATAAAATAAAACAGAAATGTTGTCTTAGCAAGTAACTGAAATAAGTTTAAGCTGAAGTAGTAAAATTGCAAGAAAAAAACGTTTGAAAAAGTTAAATGTACTAAAAATCCAAAAAATGACAAAAGCACACAACAAAATTATAAAAAAAATAAAATAAAGCTAATTCAAAATATTAATAAATACTATAAATACTACATACTAAATAAATACCAACTACTATAATAGCATAATTTATTACATTTTATAAACTTTTTTAAAATATTAAAATGTATTGTTTTCACACACCTCTCTATTTATCTATTTGTTTATATCAGTCTCAATAGACAGACACAACGAGAAAGAGAGAATCCTTCGGTTAAGATTCAAGGTAATCCCGTTCTCCCTGGGTGATCACCGGCACAACATTTTCTCGCAATAGCACAGCCATTTAAATTGGCACCAATGAGGCCACGAAGAGATTAAATTGTTTAATCCTACACCAATTCATACACAGCACACAGTCAAATGAAGTCATTAGCTCTGCGTTAACAGCAGGGAAGCCAATTACAAACGGCAGCAAGAGCTCAGAGAAACATTACCTCTCGTGACTACGATCTACCACACAAGAACTTCAAATTCAATTCGGTTTATTCTCCAAAGAAAACCTGGAAAACCAGAAGCACCCACAATAATGCAGCCACTCTAATGCATTATTTATAGGCCTTAAGTTATTCATTAGACAAGAATGGGCACCATCCCATACTGTAGGTGTGGAAGACCATGAATATTAACAAGGGAGACTTGATATTTAAACATGGCGTGGAATAAATCGCTGCAAGTAAATGCCAAGTAAATAGCACAGCACGTTAGTTACAGTGTGCTGCAGGTTGCCAATGCCTGTTGTTATTCTAAAGCATGACCTTTCCATTGCAAGATTGCTACTTCTTTCTCTTGGTTTTTGAAACACTTAGGGAGTAAAAAAAAAAAAAGAGAGAGACATTAATAAATAAAATTATGAATAAAAAAACGAGCAGACCCAGGCTGAATTATTTCTCCACACTCAAACAGTAACAATAGGCTCAGGCCGTAGAACTGTAGGTCCACATGTTAGTCAAGTCAATGTCCTAAAAATGATGGAACGATGGCCTTATATTTATAGAGTGCAACTGTCGGATTCCGGAAGTAAAAATCTCTTTAATTTTCTCCATAGGGGAATTCATTTTTAACAGTAACACACAAATCTTTAATGAGAAACCTACTGTGAGCTGCAAGGTTGTTAATCGATGGTTTTTGCTTTTGACGAAGCCATTAGACCACATTATTTCAAATTATTTAAGAAGTAATAATTTCACAGCAGGTTAAAAACTACATTATCCATGATTCTGCAAAGTAATCAGCACCAATCAGAGACCTACAAGAAGCAAATTGTGCCAAAAGTGCTCTTTAGCGTCTGTCCACTATAATACATAATTTAGATGCATATTAACGTAAAACATAAATTGCATTTCTTGTTTCTTTATATATATATAATTACCATCTTTTTAAATCAATAGCTTTTATTTGACTGTCATTCGCAATGCTTCATGGGATTGTAGTCCTTTTCTTCATTAAAGTCTTAAGTAGGTAGTCTTGTACCTTCGTCTTTTTGTCTGATTTTAAAATCAAATGGTTTTTTTGCTTCAAATTAAAGCTTGTACTGTTGCGTTTCACCGTCTGGCTGGCTGGTTTGGTTCAAGGTTTATAACTCTTTAATGAAGACTTTTTTTTAAATCCCTATGGGAAAAATACTTTCAGAACCAAGGCCATTGAAAAAAATAGCACAGATGTAAAAATACAGATACGTGCCAAATAAGCCTATAGCACTATTTAGTTTTGGACAACAAATGTTTTCCTGTCCCTGCATGGAATTTGATTTTACCTTTCCACGGAGCTAAGAAAATGCAGCAATTCCCTGATGAGTTTGCATCGCTAGAAGTGGTGTGACAGCACTTTTATCCCACAGGCAGTAAAAATCTTTGCAGCATCGTTTTCTCCACTCAAATAGTTATTGATGTTGAGACATGGTGATGTTCATGAGATTGTCCTGACCCTGCAGTTTAAACACTGCTGTACAGCCAGGCAGTAAACCCTTAAAATGCTTAAGAGGCCTGTCATACATCATGTCATGGGGAGACTGTACGTGTCTATGACACAAAAGGCCTTTCAGGAAATAAACTTTCACTGCCTACAGATGGTGATTCTGGGGTCCCAGCAAGGCCTTGGCTCATAAAGAGTGTGAGGCACCATCTTATTTCATTAGCTGTGTTTTTGCCCAGCTGTGGGCTCAGTCAGCGGGCTTTACGGTCACCGATGTAATTATACAGCAGCTTAGCAGCTCAAACAATGAAACAGCCTGTTCACCATTTACAGCCTCCCAACTCCCACTCATAAAATAATATGCCAAAATCAATAAGCTTCCAGATATGTCTCGGAACGCTGATACATCTCGGCGAGAGCACCGGTCTAATGGAGCACAAATCCAGCCTAACAAGCTGAGGGGGAAGAGAGGGGTTAATTGGGATGTTGGAGCCGTCCTTCAAAAGCTGGAGAGTGAACAGAATCAACCGAAGATGAATGAGACTGAGGGGGTGTCTTGATCAAGCCGAGACGGCATGACAACACAATAGCTCTCTGTCAGATGCACGTCCTTCTGCCACAAGTTTCCAGTTACAGGCAGCCAATCCTAATTATGTAGGCTAAATAAATATCTCTAATATTTGGAAATCAAATCAGATCTGATTATATGCATTAGTCAAGCACTGTCTTATTAGCAGGGAAAAGCATTTGCCATACCTGCCACACAATTAATGTCTTTATGGATTATGGACTAATATTTTGGCCTCGTTTTGGTGAGGGTTTTGTTTCTTACAAACACACAGCTTTTCACTTCACAAGATGTTAAAAGTCAGTTTGATTATTTGTGGATTACTGTGATGTTTTTATCAGCTATTTGGACCTTTTTAGTGCATTCATTCTGGGTGAACTATTTCTTTAAAATAAGCTATACCTTCAGTAAACCTGTTTTGCATACTGAACACAAAAAGCACTCTACCAGCATTCTGTGGGGAAGATCAGACTACATCTGTCCGTGACAGGCCTCGGCGGCAGGGGGGCAGGACCATCTGACCCTCTCCAGACCTGACCATCCACAGGATCCATCTGCTCGGCCTGCGACTGACTCCACAGTACCATGTCACACACATAGGAACCCAGTCACAACCCTGCCAGACACAGCACTCTCTCTTTGTTCCGGCCTGTTCTCATATTCATCGCAAAACAAACTAAATGTAGGCCTGCTGTATAACATAACAGGAATAAACACACATATAACATGATTTGATAAACAGCAGCACTAACACCACACATTTTCAGCCAAGATATATAAAAGTAAATGAATTTTAGCACTATATAAAATTATATTTATGTTCAAAATGATTTCGTTTTTATGAACTAAATCATGGCTGCAATGACCTAAAACTAGCCTACAACAAACAAATAAAAATCATACTACTCAGAAAGCTTGTTTTACGCCGCGTGTCAGAGACGTAATTATGTCATGGTGAATAGGCTATTGAATCTGTTCTTGATGGCTGTCTGAAATAACTTATTTTCTCGTCTAGTGCACGATATCCACAAGGAGTTAAGTGTTCGTAAAACGTTCTTGTGCTGTAAACCCTGAAGGCGGGTCTTACATTCAGCTGATCATGGTTACATAACTGAAACCGGAGAACTTTGAACTAATAGGAAAAGGAGGTCAATGCAAGTTCGTCGTGTTTGTGTGTCAGAAGAATCTTACGAGAGAGAATTAAAGCTGGAAATGTCGTCTGAAGTGTACGACTGCATCGTCATTGGCGCAGGGATCCAGGGGTCCTGCACTGCCTATCAGCTGGCCAAAAACAAGCAGAAAACTCTACTGCTGGAGCAGGTCGGTGCAGTATGCAGTATTTCTAAATCATTTGCTCAGCCTTGTTATGATTTAAATGACAGCATAAAACAAATGTTAGTAAATTTATAAAGGCAGAATGCTCACCTAAAGCAATAAAGTAAATGTAAGAGACCACATTAATACTTGCATATGGACTTGACTGTTAAGGTAGATTTGTTTTTTTACTAAAACAAAGTCAATGCAAGTCCAGTGGGATTATTATTACAATATTCTTTGAATTCCTTCTTTCTCCCCAGTTTGTTTTGCCCCACTCCAGAGGGAGCTCTCACGGCCAAACCAGGGTTATACGGAAAACCTATGAGGAAGATTTCTACGTACAGATGATGCACGAAAGCTATGAGCTCTGGGCTCAGCTTGAGAGAGAAGCAGGTGTTGAACTGTACAGGTAATGTTTGTAAGCATCTAAGTAAGAATGATGAAATTTTTTCTCCACAATGCAACACGCAGACGCTGTGCACCGAAACTTGCAGACTGTCATAGCCGCCCCTCACCCATAACTTTAAAGGAGCATTTTCATTCTAGTCCCTGAGCATCATCTATGGACCATGGGGCGCACTTGTTTTTACAGTGTCTGAGAGGTGTAATGGATCACGAGTGGATCAAGCCCACTCAGCCTTGATGCAGAATCAGGCGCCTTCCTCTTTCTCTCGCTGCTATCCATCTCAGCTCTCTGACGGATGGGTCCTGATGAGAGGCCACCTGTGCCCTTGAGCATCTCAGAGACTGCCGGGCAGCGAGTGAAAAATGTGTGCAAGATTTTAAAGAATGCTGGATTTGTTCTCTTCTTTGAACTATTTAGATGGCACTTGCTTTCCAAACAAGTTACAGTTATTAAAAATATTACTGATTTGGACAGGATTAGTATTCATTTAGATGAGAGGGTCATTTGTGTGGATGTGGTGGTTATGGAAAGTCATTTGCAAACTGGGGTTTTGGAGAATAAATCTTAATTTTATGGAGTAAATGCTATAAAGTGACTTGCAATTATCATTTAAGACCAGCATTAATGATTTTCTTTTTGATTGCATAATGTCAGTCAGAGCAAAAATTTCCAGTAGCCATTACTCTAGTCTTTAGTGTCACATGATATTTCAGAAATCATTCTAATATGCTGATTTGGTGCTCGAGAAACATTTCTTATTTTATCAATGTTGAAGACTGGTGTGCTGTTTAATATTTTTGTGGAAACTGTTATTTCTTTGATGAATAGAAAGTTTGAATGTCACTTTTGATCAATTTAATGCATCCTTACAGAATTTAAGTATTAATTTTTGTTAATTGGTGATAGTGTATACACAAAGTCTTTTTTTTCCCTGAGGATTATCGATTCAGCACACCTTTTAGCTTTATTGATTGCTTGCTAGTTAAGATTATTATATAACCGACTAATTAGAACAAAGTTTAGAGATGCTTTATTATACATAGACCTAGTATTTTTCTGTTTTGAATTAGTTTTTTATTTAACAAATTAAATAGTTACACAGTTTATGTTGCCCATTTACAATGCAGTGTCCTCGCAAAATGATACAGATTCATGCAGATATTGTCCAAAGCACCACTTTGCCCAGGGTACTTCTAAATATTACAATATTATTAATATAATCAAGAGATTTAATTAATTATGGTGAAGATCGCACCTGACACACTTACAGTGGCTGTTCTGACTCTTAGTGATTACATTTTCTTTTTACATCAGATGGGATGCCGGCAGCTTGAACCACCAACTGTTATTTTACCCAGAGAGCTGCCAAAAAGGTCAAAATCCATAATAAATATTTGACAGGCAGTGCAGGGACAAATTTAACTTTAGTTACAGTGTTCAGCGAAGGTCAAAATAAATGAGGATGCTGCAATTATGGACATTCCTAACCAGGACAGGTTTATATTTCTCATAGGACCCCCGGGGTAGTTGAGAAACAGTAAGGTTGTGAGAAAGTTCTATACACTTTTGATTCAGATGGTATTAAAATTACCTCAGCAAGGATCTTGCCCCACCATGATGTGACTGTTCGCTATTAGGCACAAGGGCATTGACTAATGTGACATGGAGTCCTTCTTTCAGTGTCCCCAATCAAACACACACACACAATGGGGGATTCAGTCATAAAAATCTCTGATGAATGACTTGGACCTGTGAACTCACGCTGCCCGTGCATCATGATGGCTGGCAGATGAAGTAGGCCTTGAAAAACAGTATCCACAGAAAACAGCACGACCATCTATCACACATTGTTGATTTAAAGCCTGTGTTCCCAACCTCTCATCCATACTGCCATAACTCCTCACATTAAGACACCTGCATCACAAGCAGGCGCAGACGGCACATTGCACAATTTATACATGCCTCTAAGCACTTCCACCTAAATCAAGGTACAGCTGTTTAACATGGTCATCTTATGAACTTCTCCTCACAGGCGCACTGGCTTACTGGTTATGGGTCCAGAAAACGGAGAGGGTTTCTCACGCCTAAAGGCCACGATGCAAAGGCACAAGATTCCCACAGTGTTTCTGGAGAAGCAGGAATTCAGCCAGCACATTCCCAATGTGAATCTCGCTGATGGGAACGGAGCGCTGATAGACACCTTTGCTGGCGTGCTGTATGCGGACAGGGCTCTCCGAGCTGTGCAGGTCAGCTGATCATGTACACTACTGTACAAAAGTTTAGGATCAGTAAGACTGATTGATTGATTTTAAAGAAATTAATGCTTTTATATTCAGCAAGGATGCATTAAATTGATCAAAAGTGACAGTAAAACACTTATAACTTATTTTTTAAAAATGTTACTTAGTAAGTTATGTAATTCTTCCAAGAAATGTTCCTTGAGCACCGAAATAGCATGTTAGAATTATTTCTAAAGGATCATGTGACAATGAAGACTGGAGTAATGTCTGCTGAAAATTCAGCCTTGCCATCACAGAATAAAATAAAATGAAAAATATATTAAAATAGAAAACTCATAAAATGAACCATTTTATTAAAATATTTATTTAAAATCATCTCTGGGAGGCTGTTGGAATTTCACATGTCAATCTTATATTTAGCTTGGCAACTCAAAGCTATCAGATGCTCATCTAATTATGTATGCAAAATTAGTACATTTGCAACCGTTCCAAAACCTGCTTTGGACCGATTGTGTCTCTCCTCACAGAAGTATTACTGAAATGGGGGGGGGGATCACATGACACGAGTTTTAGGTACAATAAAGGGTAGCCATTTGTTTGAAATGTCAGATTCCCCTTTTGATGATAAATGCTGTTGTAATTAATAAAAGAATTATTTTTTATTCTCAGATAAGAGTTCAGTTTAAGCAAGTACTGTGAAATTCAGCATACAGTGGAAGTAAATCTCTTACTGTGTGAAAACTCCTAAACTTTCAATGTCAGAAAGGCATTGAGCAATGTTCTTTGTGTACATAACTGTACTTCAGTGTCGCATTCACCGTGCTTTTTAAAGCTTTCAAAGATAAGATATGGCTGCAAACTAGCTTGTTAAAGGCTCCTTACACCCTTTCTAGGGAATATGGCCATGCACTTTTATACACAATGCCTCTCTGGATTCAATAAGCTCTGCCTACAGCAGCTACAGTGTGCAGTGATAAGCTCCCTGTTGGCTCTCACTAAGGAAACTCTTTCATTATCTGTTGCCCGAATCTGACCAGCTTTTTCCCGTTTTAACTGATCCCCACTGACATCTCTCTGTGTCAAACTCAGCCCTTGTTAAATTTTAGCCAGTCTCTCCTCACTGCTCTTATTAGGATTTTCTGTCATAGATGAGGTGTTTTGAAGAAGAACAGTTTTAACTGATCCCCGTTGACATCCCTCTCTGTCAAACTCAGCCCCTGTTAAATTTTAACCAGTCTCTCCTCACTGCTCTGATTAGGATTTTCTGTCATAGATGAGGTGTTTTGAAGAAGTTTTGTCTATGCAGTAAAGTTGAGCATGCTGTTATCAGACTGAAGTGATTTGAATCTGTTGGTCTCTGTGTTTTTCAGAGGCTGTTTCAGTCCTGTGGGGGTGTGATAAAGGACGGGGAGAAAGTAATTGACATCAGGCCTGGTGCGGAGGTCACTGTAACGACGGACTCTGGAGTGTACAGAGGGAGGAGTCTGGTGATCACTGCAGGACCCTGGGCCAACACTCTACTGAGACACACAGGACTGCAGCTCCCGCTCAAGGTTCAGCAGACATCCAGCCATCCCTCTTTCATTTACTCATCTATTCATTCATTCATTCATTCAATTAACTACTTACCTTCTTTCTTTCATCCATTCTTTTTCTTTCTTTCATTCACTAACCAAATTGTTCTTTTTATTTCATCCATCCATATACTTACCTTGTTTTCTTTCTTTCTTTCTTTCACATTATTTCATTCATTCATCCATCCATTTGTTGATTTCTTTCTTCACCTATTTACCCTCTTTATTTCATCCATCTGTTTATTCATTTACTCCCCTTTTTTATTCATCTGCCTATCCATCCATCCATCCATCCATCCATCCACCTTTTTTAGTTTTCCTTACCTACACAATTTCTTTCTTTGCTTGCTTGCTTGCTTTCTGCTATCCAGCCATGTTATATTTTTCTTCACCTGCTTACCCTCTTTATTTTACCATATTTATTTACTCTTTTTCCATTAATTCATCTACTGTATACATTTACTCCCCTTCTTTCCTCCCATCCATTTTTTTTAATTTCTCTTACCTTCATTCATTCGTTCATTCATTCATTCTTTCTTTCTTTCACATTATTTCTTTCACTCATACGTTATATTTCTTTCTTCACCTATTTATCCTCTTTATTTCATCCGTTTACTCATTCATTCTCATCTACTCATTTTTTCCATCCATCCATGGATTTACTCCCCTTCTTTCTTTCTTCCATCCAGCCACCTATCCATCCATGCATCCATCTGTTTATTCATGTACTCCCCTTTTTTTCATTTACTCATTCATTCATTTACTTTTTTTCCATTTCATTTACTCCCCTTTTCCATCCGTCAGTCCATTCATTTACTACTTCTCACCTACACAATTTCTTTCATTCTTTCTAACATTATTTCTTTCAGCTATTTTCCTTATTTAATCTGATCCTTTTGTTATATTTTCACCTGCTTACACTCTTTATTTTACCATATTTATTTACTCTTTTTCCATCCATCCATACATTTACTCCCCTTCTTTCTTCCCATCCATCCATTTTTTTCATTTCTCTTACGTTTGTTTGTTTGTACGTACATTCGTTCTCTTTCTCTCTTTTTCTTTCTTCTTTTTTTCTTTAAAGGCATCATGGAACAATATATCAGTGTGAAATGTCTGGGTTTGGAAAACAGGTTCTGAAAAATGGAAGCATGGGAATATATAAGGCATCAGCCATAGCTTGTGAAACACACACAGGCACATATAGATTGATCTAGATTACACCCCTGGGCAGAATGAAAAGTGAGTTATTTGTGAATGCACAGAAACCACCCTATACTCACCTCCCGATCCTATAAACAGCTCCCAGAGTCTCCAGTCCACCGAGATCTCTTATGTGTCACACGCCACTAGAGAAGTGATGGAAAAAGAATTCTGTGTTAGTTAAACTCCGAATTGGACCTAGAATTGGAATTGCATTTTTCAGGATAGCACATGCTTGAAAGTCTGCGCTTGGGTGAGCACAACAATATATGAGCAATGAATTTGTGCACTGGTGATTTTTTATGGTCTCTGAATGAGAAGACAGGCTGGACTATTCTGAGCTAGCGATTCCTTACTGCTTATTACATTTACTCTGAAGTGAGTTAAAGGGATAGTTCACCCAAAAATGAAAATTGTGTCATTAATTACTCACCCTCATGTCGTCCAAACCCATAAGACATTCATTCATCTTCATACACAAATTAAGATATTTTTGATGAAATCCGAGAGCTTTCTGACCCTCCATAGACAGCAACGCAACTGAAACATTCAAGGCCCAGAAAGGTAGTAAGGATGTGACATCAGTGGTTCAACATTAATTATATGAAGCTACGAGAATACTTTTTGTGCGCAAAGAAAATAAGAGTGAAAGGACTTTGAATCTCTCGTTTTTTTCTGGGCAGGTTGTAAAGATTAACGTATGCTACTGGAAGGAGGAGATCCCAGGCACCTACAGTGTCGGCCAGAGTTTCCCATGTTTTATAGAGATGGAGCCAAAAGAGGGGGAATATGATATTTACGGCCTTCCATCCAATGAGTATCCAGGACTAATGAAGGTGAGTGACAGGAGGGATGCTGCTTTTAAAAGAACAGGTTTGATTAAAGCCATGGCCTGGTGGTTAACTTTGTGGTGCTCAGTTTCAGGTCTTACTTGCGTCATTTTGAATTGTTTAGTAAAACTATGAAATATTAAAAATATTTTTGTTAATTGAAATAAAGCTGAAATACAATAAAATGTAAATATTACACACACAAAATTAAGCGAAATTAAATTTGGCATCTATCTGAGATAAGTAACAAAATTACAAAAACTAAAATAAAAACAAATTAAATCTAAATAGAAATTTAAAAAATGTAAAAGTACCAAATATATATATAATACCTATTTAAAGGCAAATTAAAAATTTGAATAAGTACTATAATAGAATAGAATCAAATTAAACTGGATCCTGTCCGCACCACGTTTCACTTAAAAATAGTGACAAAAATGTAAAAACAAACAAAAAAAAGTTTCAACCACAACTTAAACCTTCTTTCCTGTTTGTCCAATATTTTTTATTTGAAAGACCACTTCTCCATGGAAACAATAGATATAGCCTGTCCTAAACTACTATATAAGTATGTACCACAAACCATTTCATTAATGCAATTGCCTGCCCACATCTCATAAAAAAGCCACCAGAGACTGGTAGTCTCTGATAGTCCATAGTTTTCATTTTTTGTTAATTAATCCACAATTCCCTCATGTAGCAATACAGCACACATCTCCACTCAGAGTTCGAGTGCATCAGATGCAAGTGCAAACAGGAGTGGTTCTATAGCTCTCTGAATGGATCCATGGACCTCGATGCTTTTACAAAAGCAGAGAAGCAGCACTCTCCTCTGGTCTGTTCTCCCAGTACTAATGGCCCGATTTCAGTATGCGGGAGAGCCCAGCAGGAGTCTTCAGTCTCATCACACTTAGCAAGGCTGAATGGGAGAGCACAGATGGCTGTGTCATGTTAGATGCATTATGTCTGCTCCAGTCGCTGGAGCCTGGCTTCTGCATGTATATCTGCTGCTCCTCCAAGCATACCGAGCGGTGGATCACAGATCCGTAGTGTATCATAGGTCAGACTGTTTTTATGGACCATGGTGTGCGTGCATGTGTCTGAGCAGGTGTGTTACCACATGGGCAGTGAGACCGAACCGGATGAGCGAGATAAACAGACGGATAGAGGGGACATCGATATTCTGGTGCGTTTCGTCACCCGCTGTCTCCCTGGGCTGGTGCCAGTGCCTGCTGTGGTGGAGAGCTGCATGTACACGGTGAGTCGCTTCATTACTCGTCCTCAGGTGCCATCACTGTGTGTCCGGACCAAACTTTCATCCTCATGTGGAGAGAAGAAAGATATTTGAATGCATGGCTCATATTTTATTCTGACATGTCATTTGATTGAATGGTTGCTGGAATTGAACCAAGCCATTTATTTTGGTTCTACTTGGATTTTAAATAGATTTTTTTGTTCTAGACACGCAGAATTATAGCGTATCTTAACCAGACACACCTGATATGGTGACAAGCCATTAAAGCTATTTGTAAATCTGACTTAACCAGATGTGACCACGACAGGATATTTTGTGGGTCGCTTGATTTCGATATCTATTTCACAGTGAAATCTAATCTCTCTGAAGTCCTGTATATTACAGTGAACATCAAAAAAACCGGAGTCTTAGAAAACAAATCAGAGAATTTTAAAATTATGATTTACAGGCCTTGAAATGTCATTAAAATATATAATTATGTAATGGTATATTATTAATAAAAATATTAATAGTATTAAATATTTTTAAAATATATATAGTATTGTTTTTAATTCATTAAAAAAAAATTTTTTATTAAAAACAAATCATTTGAATATCTCTTTGGTTTTGAGACTTTAGTCTTTGCAACTTCAGGGATCTTATCAATGCACAATCAGCTTGTAACACTCCAAAGAGAAAGGAAAACTTGAAATCGCATCATATGACCCCTTTAAAAAAATATTTCTTGACAGATACATGCTAACAGATACATGGTAATCAAATGAAACTCTCTACGATGATTTCTAAAATAAAAAAATAAAAAACATTCAGTCATCACAAATGTCTGGAAAGGTCATGGAAATTCACTGGTCAAAAAAAGTGGGAACCCTGATGTTCTGATTGGTTGTGATTGTGTCACATCACGCTGCGGTTTCACATTCAGTGTGGACAGACAAATTGCTTGTCATGGGAAACTTGTCGCATCGCATCTGGTTGGGACGTGGTGTTAGCCTCTCATTTAATGCATCAGCACATCAAAAAAGTCAGTTCTTTCAGAGCAGGTTTTCAGCTGCTCTGTAAACTTCTGCATGACTAAACAAAGTTTCCATCCGAATGGCTGAAATGAAAAAATAATACAAACAACTTACAAATGCAAGGTACAATCACATCAGTCATGAAACAGGACAGCGGTGATGCAACACAACCTAAATCCTTTATAAACTACCCTTGACTGCCCTGTCAGGAGCTCCACAGAACGCCGGTGAGCACACAGAGATAAAGTTCAGTATTAAAGCAAGAAACTGAGTGGAACCATATAAAACGGTTACCTAGTAGCATGATGTACAGAGCTGTCCTCTTCGATACCATCTACAGAACAACGTCTCAGTCAGCCAACCACAGTATTGATTATTTTCATACTTAAAAGGAAAAATATCAGGTGGCTCAAAATTTATCAAAAGGCTAATTTCTGTTGAATAGGTTTGTTAGTAGTAGTCAGAAATTACATTTGTTTAGAGTAAAGTGAAAATCTTTAGAAGTGAAGTGACTAAATTTGGGGTCAGTAGGATTTTTTTTTTGAAGTGTTTGAAATAAGTCTCTTATTTGATCAAAAGTACAGTAAAAACACAAATATTGTGAGATATTATTACAATTTCAAATACCTTTTTCGATTGGAATATATTTTTAAATTTAATTTAATCCTGTGATGGCAAAGCTGAATTTTCAGCAGCCATTTCTCCAGTCTTCAGTATCACATAATCTTTCAGAAATTATTAAAATATGATGATTTGGTGCTCAAGAAACATTTCTTATTATGATCGATGTTGAAAAGAGTTACAACTTTTTGACTTTTTTTTTTTCAGGATTCTTTTATCAACAGAAATAATTTTTGTAGCATTATAAATGTTTTTACTGTAACTTTTGACCAACTTAATGCATTCTTGCTAAATAAAATGATTAATTTCTTTAAAAGAAAATAAATATTACCAAGCCCAAACTTTTAAATGGTATCGTACACCCCAACTAGACATTCAATGAAATGTTTGTCATTACTAAATCACTAAGTCAATTTGTTCATTAGCAATTTCAGGCATGTAGTGGCTTATCTCTTAAGCAGCTTTTTAATTTTTAAGTTCAATTCAAACACAGCACACATAATTCATGCCGCATGCATGTTCGGAGTACAAAAAGGTCAAATATTTGCACAAATAATTACCATCCAGTCATGATGTTTAACATTCCCCTGCTTGGTTGTTTGTAGGTCACGCCAGACCATAACTTCGTCCTTGATTCCCACCCAACCTACGGCAACATCATCATCGGTGCTGGATTCTCAGGTCAGTAGAGCACTAATGAATTCGGCACACACCCGTCCCTGTAAAACACAGCCACACACGCTCACGTCAACTGGAAGAGCTATCTGAACTTTTTAATGAGGGAACGGAACAGGGCGCTAGTGAAGGACAGGAAGCGAAGCCCCCAGTGCGGGCGCCTTTTATCGTCTAATTAAAGGCGGTTGCTGGCTCCCCGGGTCCTGCGTGCTCCCAAACTCGCCTCTCAGGGGGCCAAAGGGCTCACCTGGCATTTGTTCCATCTGTTCCCATCACCTCCTCCTTAGACTAATTATGGGGCTAATTAAATTCCACTGGTAATCACTTCAGAGAAGCGCTGGTTAGCAGCAGTGGCGTTTGGTGGGAAGGGGTTAGAAAAATACAGTACAGCTGAGCACGACTGTGGCGGCACGGTGTAGCTATTCATCTTGTAACGCATTGTCCCGGTTAAAGGAGGTGTCACAGGAAGCATTGTGTGGCTGCCTCACTGTACCGGTACCGTCCCAATGCTCTGGCACGTCGCGCACTAATGATTTATGACATATATTCTTCTGCCTTAATAATACATTACAACTCTGATAGGAGCGGAGGAATGCTCACTATTAACCTCTCCCTGCCTCTTCTCGTTTTATTGTCTGCCATAATGACAGCGTTTCGCCTCCCCGCTGCTCTCCTGCCCTCAGCGCAGCTGTTGTATTTGCGGCTTGGGAAAAACTAAAGGGTGCAAATTGGATTCGTTTCAGGGGCAAACACACAGACCGTAGCTTCTGGGTGGGAAGTTGCCCCTCTTTCCACCCGGAATTTGTCTCAAGCCAAGCTCTGAGCTCAAGACCCTCCGGTTGCCATGGATACCCAGCCACATCAGTGGGGTTTAAGGAAGAACAGAGACCGTCTGCCGGTCAGAGCCGTATCCACTCACAGCCCAGCTTTGCAGACTTCAAACGGCCACCCAGTCCGCAAAGGCAAGAGCCGAGAGCGTCGGAGAAGAATGCAGTGCATTTTAAACATCTTACCCAGCTCCATCTCTGTCTTAAAGAGATAGTTCACCCAAAAATGAAAACTCTGACATCATTTACTCTAAAGTATGACTTGCTTTCTTCTGTGTAGCACAGAAGGTTGTGCAGTTTGTACTTTTCCATGTAGTTACTGTATAATAAATGGGGACTAAAGCTGTCAGTGCTTCAAAAAAAGACTGAAAAGTATCATAAAAGCAGTCTCCATGACTAGTCATACAATAGCTTTGTGTGAGGAACCGACCAAAATTAACCCATTATTCACTCATAATCCTATCCTCCAGTGGACTGTTAATCATTTTGACTTGATCATTATTTGTCAATGAGTTGAATTTGAAAACCAGGTCAGTTTTGTGAACTCTATCAGCTGATTTATAAAAGAGAAAATCACATTGTTCGTGAATCAGATATTACTGTATCTCATGAAATTGAAAAGGAGAGTTCGGACAGATATTCAGATTTTCAGTGAATAAAATAACTTGCATTTCAGTTTCTTTCACAAAACTGTCATATGGCATCAAAAGACCTGAAATATAGTGCATGTTTCATATGGACCAATTTCATGATGCTTTTATGGTGTTTTTACATCCCTTTAGAAGGAGAAGTCTCTGTTCATTGTAATTGCATGTAAAATATGGACATTTACACTACCTTTTAAAAATTTGGAGTTAGTAAGATTATACTTTAATTCAGCAGAGAGACGTTAAATTAATCAAAAGCGACTGTAAAGACAATTGTACAAATTATAATAAACAGTAAAATGCTGTTCTTTTTAAACTGTGTATTCATCGAAGAATCCTGAAAAAAAAATGGATCACGGTTTCCACAAAAATATGAAGCAGCACAACTATTTTCAACGTTTATAATAAGAAATGTTTTTTCGAGCAGCAAATCAGCATATTAGAATGATTACTGAAGGATCATGTGACACTGAAGACTGGAGTAATGATGCTGAAAAATCAGTTTGCCGTCACAGGAATAAATCACATAGAAAACAGCTATGTAATAACATTTCACAGTATTACTGTTTTTACTGTATTTTTAATCAAATAAATGCAGCCTTGGTGAGACTTCTTTCAAAAACATCTTCAAACAAATCAAACTGACCACAAACTTTTAAATGGTAGTGTACATTATTCCAAATGTCTCCTTTTGTGCTCCAGTGAAAGAATAAAAGATAGGTATGGAATTAAATGTAGGTGTGTAATAATGACAGAATTTTCATTTTAAGCTAAAATTATCTCTTTAACACACCGGAGAAAACATGCATGTACACAACCATGCTATAATGAATCCTCTGACAGTCCACTCTCTTCAATAAGGGAGACAAATTTTCTTAATTTAGCATTTTTCCAAAGCCCACCCAAAAGACAAATGTCCTGTGACCGTGGGTGTGATGGTGCCAGTCGCCCATTTGACCGCAATGGGTCACATATAGGTGAATCCGATGGGGTCACTTGTTCGGTGATTGTCCATCCTTGAGATGTTAACTCAAAATTGTCTTTGTGATGTTTGCAGCTGTAGAAACCTTCTGAGGGCTGTTTTCATCTCAGCAGGTGTGTGTTGTTTGAGTTTGGCAGGTGGATGAATGTATCCAGAGTTTCTACCTGTGGTTGAGCTCAGCACGTGAGCACAGTTCAGTGAGTCAGTCTGGGCCTTTATGTCTTGTTCAGTTTACTTGTGAACCTCTGCTCCTTGTGGCACCTACGATAGTCTGACCCATCTTCATGAATCCTCTCACCTCCAGCGGTGCGGTTATCTGGGCAGACTTCAATAGGTGAAGGGGTTCTCCTTGCTTACACACTGCTTTGTGTGAGACATCTGAAAAGCATCTTAGTGGCCATTCAATGACTGATGTCTGTTTCTCAGGAGTTTCTTTTATCCTTACAGTGCCAGCATGATTTGAGGGGGTTTTCTCTCTCTCCATGCTCTCTCATGCAAAGGCTTTCTGAGTCAGACAGTGGACGACAGATAATGGCTATTTATAGAAGGGTCGCTGTAGATTCCTGTGAGGTGCGCTGCTTTTATCCCAGTGGATTGAATGCATGTAAACTGCATCCTATGATGATTCACCTCTCAGCAAATGTGATTTGTTTTTTTCTCATTCTTTCTCCGCAGGCCACGGCTTCAAGTTCGGCCCTATCATAGGGAAATTGCTCTCTCAATTGGCCATGGGGCAGGTTCCCTCACACGACCTCTCACCTTTCCGTATTCAACGTTTCCAGTCTCACGCCAGATCGTCACTTTGAATCCAAGAGCCTACAATGACAGCTACATTTAACATAATAAAACAATGTTAAATGTCTGAATGTTAACTGTGCTATGTTAATCCATTACTAATTCATACATGCTTTTTTCTGTAATATCAAGGCTGTGCCAAGTTAACATTAGACTAAAGATGTGCAAAAAGGAAATATTCTTTCCCACGGAATCCTGTCTAAATCTCACCATCAGTGTGTTGATGGTGGTGTGGAATTGTGCCATTGAAGTGATGTGAGTGAAAGAAGTTGACTTCCACCACCTTATTGCATGTATAATAACATGTGAAATAATAAAAATACCATAGGCTTTATGTAGACATGAAGACTGTATATGTGCTAATTATGTTTCTAGGTAACAGCCTATTTTATATTGGTTTCTATGTAAACTCTGGGTGAGTCTAACTGCTTTAATTGTCATTTTTAAATCTTGATATAATTTATTCTTTGCATTGCATATTGTCCATTTAATATTTCTAAAAGATAAGCATGGGGGCGTTTGGTTTTTTTCTAAACATTATTGATTATTTAATGTTTGTATGTAAAATTAAAGCCATATTCATTATTTTTCATGCACATTTTAACTTTTTCAAAAATTGGGGTTATTATAGTTCACTAAACCTAAAACCATAAAAAAATGCCATTACTGAACGTTAAATGAAAATGTAGGCTAATTATTTTTTATTACAGCTAGTTGCATAGGCAGCATTTCTCATTTTATTTAGTTTAACTTAATGTACTAAAATAACTAAAACTGAAATAAAATTTATAAAAACTGCAGACATTGCAGTTGCAAAAAATGTCAAAAACAGACAACAAAATTACAACTTTAAAATTACAGTGAATATTGAAAATATAAAAATAAACAATAAACTGGAAAATTACACATTTAAATTACAAAAAAAAGGTAAATATGAGAATAAAAAACTATTATAAAACCAATAACTTAAAGTCTCAATGCTACTAAAATAGCAGGATCTACTAAGACATGATACATGAGATATCTCTTGCATCCGCTTCATACGCACTTCGCCAAGCTGTTTTTGAATGCAAAAATACGCCACCCTAAGCATAAAAGTGACGAAATGTGATTAATAACCATTTTAAATGTGTCTTCACCATTAACGTTTATATGAAAAGCCTGCAGAGATTTCCGCACCGTTCTTCAGGAGAAGGATGACAGATCAATACCCTCCGATGCTGATCACCAGAGTAAAGCCATGTTTCAGCATCTGCTACACTGACAAGGGAGCCATTAGCCTCCCGCGATGAGTTTTTAACAGTATCGTCAGATATTGTCTGATTGTGAACGCATTCGTCTGTGGCCAACGGCATTAAAATTAAAGTGCACACTTGTCAGTTTTTATGATTTTATGCATTACTCCTCCTCGACGGCTCGGAGAGAGTGGTCTGGCGGCAAACGGAGCATATTGCTAAAAAGACATCAGCCGTCGAGCCATTTGTCTTGGTGAAGTCAGCATCATTTGTTGACTTGCTGCCTGGACCCATTTCCCCCTGTAAACATGTTAATCACTAATCAGGCAGCCTTTTACTCTAGACGTCCACCGGCACCATCAGGGGGAATGAGGAAATTATACAATGTGACAGCGGGTTACCGAGGGCCCATTCATCCTTCTGGCTAGAAGTTAGCTTGCATTGATAGTATTAGTGCATCGATGGCCATATTAAAATGCTATCAAACATGCAGGAGCTAATGTTTACCACCTCTGATGAGAGCTAACCTGATGGCATGAGAGCAACAGAAGCTATTGTGAAGGCATTGAGGTTTCTGTGGCTTCGGTCGAAAGGAGAGTTTTTTTCCAAGAAAATTCAAAATAGCTCTCTGGCGCAAATGATAAAGGAGCTTTATAATGATCGGGAGAGAGAGAATCAGGCAAATGTGCTCTCTGAAACAATGCCTAAAGGAAGACGTCTGTGCACAAAAGAATCCACAGAATCTGTGGACACTTGCTCATCTCTGTCCTTTGATAACAGATAATTCTGCTAAATCTTCCACTTGTGGTTTTGTTGTCCTAGAGAATTGCAGCTGGATTTAACCGCACTTAACACTGGCCTCACCGTTTATTAAAGTGACCATGAAGTGTTCTTATCATTAAAAATATATATATGAAAAAAGTGATTTAACTCAAAATTGTATGACATTGCTACTAGGGTGACTCAACGAAACCATTTTCTTTATTTTGAAAGCACATGATGCACATATGAAAGCAATATAAAAAAAAATCTTTAACAAGGAAGAGGTCAATCAAAGGCTTGGGGTGGTAAGGTCATTTCAATCATGACAACTCTCGGAAGATATTAGCATGGTGATGGATATGACAATGTTAATGTATTTGGTCTTGGCGGAATAGATCTGCTACGCTGCTGCTGAATTGCTGCTGCTGTTGGTTATTGCTGTAGTTGTAGATTATTGCTGCTGCAAGCAAGTACAGGAACTTGCTACTGCCAATCCATATGGCAATACAGGTGCCGTGAGTATTTAAGACATACTGCTGCTGCACAAATAGCATATAAAATAACCCATAGCAGATCTATACAGGTGGACCTGCGCCATCTAGAGTTTCATGACTGAACTATATATTTACATGTTTTTGAAAGAAAAAAACTTGCTCACCAAGGCTTATTTGATTAAAAATCTAATATTGTGAAAATATTGTGTACAATTTAAAATTACAGTTTTTAATATAAAATATAAAATATTATTTAATAATATTATTTAATATTAACATATAATTAATTTCTGTGATGGCAAAGCTGAATTTTCAGCATCATTACTCCAGTCTTCAGTGTCACATGATCCTTCTGAAATCATTCTAATATGCTGATTTGGTGCTCAAGAAACATTTATTATTTTTATTATTATTAATTTTGAAAACAGTTGTGCTGCTTAATATTTTTGTGGAAACCATGATACATTTTTTGGTATACTTTGATGAATAGAAAGTTTATAGAAAGTTTCATTTATTTGAAATAGAATTTCACTCACTTTTGATCAATTTAATGCATCTTTGCTGAAATATATATATATAAAATTGTTCCTTAAATGTAACATTCTTTTCATAGCATCACAAAATTAATTTCAATAAACAGAAATAGAAATTTGTCAATGCATGCAATAGGGGGTTAAAACAGAATACTGATGTGAGTGTTTTTTTTCATCAGCCATCAGTAGTAGATTTCACAGCAGAGAGGATGATGATGAAGGCAACCGTAACTCAAAGCTTGAGGAAATAAGTATATATAATAATATAATAACTATAAAAATATAATAACTGCTGGGCCCGGTTGCTTCTCTTATAAGCATTTTTTCCTCATGTTGTCTTTCTGTCTCTCAAATATTGCCCTCTCCCAGGAAATGCCAAAAGATTGGCCTTCTGGAAGGTGTCAGTGTATTGAGTTGACATGCACAAGGACAAAGAAAAGTGCACACTGACTGACAACAGAGGGAGAAAGGCATGCGTTGCTATGGTGATGAGTGATGTTTCTCACCCTCTAAAGATCTGGTCAGATTGGACAGGGGGTTTGATTTAAGCACAGAGCAGCCTTCCTCACCATAACACAACACATCCTCTCATCTAAACACAAAATCAAACAAACTGTATCAAGTTTGATTTAGAATGGTCATATTCTCTCTTTTGCTTGATTTTGATTAATTTAGGCTGTTGTTAGAGGTACATCTTCAACATTTTATTATTTTAAGTAAATAGGCACAGGTAAACTGAGGTTAATTCATTTAAAACAAATAAAATTAATTATTTTTATTTACTTATTTTGCATTAAAACGAGAATAACACTCCTACTCTTTCATAAAAATATATATATATTTTAGATGTAACCATGTTTGCTCCTTTTTCACACAGACAAAAATGCTAATTGCTCTCAAACAAGTGTGAAACTATTTTAAGATACATGTGAGAACTGCATACCCTTACAACAAGAACTGTTTTTTTTTTCTTTTTAACCATATTCATGTCCAAAAAGTATACTTCAAATAACAAGTTTTTCTTTCCACTAACATATTTGTAATGTATTCCGCTATTTTTTTATATTTGCAGTTGGTCAACTAGGTTACCATGCACGAGGGAAAAAAGTAGGAAAGTATACTGAATGAGAAAAGTACATGGCATTCCTTAAAGGGGTCATATGATGCGATTTCAATTTTTCCTTTCTCTTTGGAGTGTTACAAGCTCTTGGTGCATAAAGAAGATCTGTAAAGTTGCAAAGACTAAAGTCTCAAATCCAAAGAGATATTCTTTATAAAAGTTAAGAGTCAACCACACCTACCTAAAACGGCTCGTTCTAACACGCCCCCACATATCTACGTCACGATGTGGGAAGATTTGCATAACGCCGCCCAAATGTTCACGCAAAGAAAGAAGGCGTAACTTTTATTCTCGCTGTAGTATTGTTGCCGCCGCCATGCCGTAGAGACGCTGTGTTTTGTTGTGAAAGTGAAACTACTTTGTTTGGCCTTCCAAATACACAAAATAATGTTCTTTTTAGCAACATCATATGACCCCCTTTCAGCCATGTTTGATTTGATTATCTTTTATGTTAAAGTTTGTTGTTGTTGTTTTATTAATTTCTAATGATACAACGGTTAGTTCTGATACCCAAATTAAATCAACTGAGCAGTGTTTGATCCAGCTGCACTGGAAAATTTCTTGTGTTTTTATTTTTACTTATTTATTTTTATTTTATTCTAATAAAAATAATAACTATTTTAAAATACATGTAAGGAAACCATACTCTTAAAAAAGCTTTTATGCACATTTTTTATGCAAGTCCACTGTCTTTTCCTCACTTCCAACCAGATCTGCACTTTTTTCTATCTGCTTCTCTGTGCTGTCAGTGCAATTCACTGTAGATGCCACCTTGTCTTACATCCTTATGTTTTTTATTTGCCATCTGAAATACAGAACAAATTATGTTTACAGCGCAAACACCCCATTCATTTTAAATCTGTGACCCTGCACCTGCTGGTGGAACCTGAAATCGAGTCTCCTGAGCTCAAAGCCTTGATGTTTTTTGCCCTTCTGTGATTTTTATATCCACACGAGCGTGTAATAAAAAGGAGGTCAAGCCTTCCTGACCCCTGCCAGTCAAACCCCAAGGTTTATCTATTGCTGCACACCCTGCCTCAGGAGACTCACATTAATTAGTGGCTGTCTACCAAAAACACTCGCTCCTTTAGACACCAACGGCAAACAAAATGCTCCATCCCTGGGGTAATCATCCTGCAGCACATCGGCCGCCCGCATAAACCCCAGAGGAGCTCTTTGCGGGAAGACATTGTGAGGGTCAAGAGGGCCAGGATTCATTCCAGCAGGAGGATCAGAGAACATGGCAGCGCAGACTGATGACAGCACCAGTAAAGATCAATATCCCTGGGTTATGACAGAGCACAGCAGTGAATGCCAGCATATGAGTCCCTTGGGTGTTTTTTGGGGGGGGGACAGAGTTTGCCTTTGGGGTTCAGCTACGAATATTAAAAAACAGTGAATTACACTGGGGGGAAAAAGTGAAAATAAAAACCTGTTATTTGG